AATTAATTTCTTTTTATCATTTTTTTTAGTAATACCTATAGATTTTTAATTGGATTGAGATCTGAGAATGAAGATGGCCAATAAAAAATATATAAGCATTATTCTTGCAATAATTTAATTATAAGTTTTGTATAATACTTAAAATCATTGTTTTGTTAAAATATTTATTTATAATTAAAGATTCTATAAGCTTGTTTAAATAAGTTTTAGAAAAATATCTTATAATAAAATTCATTATTTATGATTTTTGTAAAAATATAAAAGTTAATAATTCTTTTGTTATAGAATAAATTCTACACATGAATTTTGAATAGATATTTTATAACTTCTCAGATTAAAATTAATTTTTTAACTTTGTAATAAATTGTATTATATTGTAAAAAATTTAAAAAATAATTTTATTTGAAAAAATTATTTTATTTTATTATTTATTTTTGTGTTTTTTGTGTTTAGATAAGTTGACATTTCATAATTGTCTTATTAAAAAAAAAGAACTTTATGAAAAATATATATTTTATATTTGAGTTTTTAAAAGTTGTCTCGAATTGCTTGTAATAAAATATTGAGATCTTAATGAATATTATTAAGTATTTTAGCTAGTTCTTTACTTGTTATAGTTTTATTTTTCATGATGATCTTTTTAATATGTTTTTTTTGTGCAAGACTAAAAAGCTAAAAATGACTGAAACATCTGTTTTATTTTAAATCTTCAATTTTAAAAGGTTGGATAATCTATCTATAAAATGTTTATTGAAAAATTCAATAATTATTTTAAGATTTTTGACTTTTCTATATTCATATTTCCAAAGATTCTTAATAAAAAAACAATGTTTTGTAAGCAAAGTCATCTGTTATATTATAATATTAAAATATTTTTTTTTATTCTAGATCAAATGGCTCAATTTTTTTAAAAAATAAATTGTTAGTTTTTATTGTCAATGTATATACTGTATATGTGTGTATGAATTTATATTTAATTTTTAAATAAATATATACTGTATATACTGTATATTTGAAATTTAATATGGAATAATTGAATTTGTAAGATATTTTTTTAAAAAATTAAATAATACAAAAATAATACAAAAATCAGTTTATATCAATTAAATTTTTATTATTGATTAAAAATATTAAAAAATTGTTAAATTTCTAATTATGATACAGTGTATTTATAATTGGGCTTAATTTTATTTAATTTTATTAATTTTTACAGTATATGATTACATTTAAATATAACATTTTTTAATTATCGCTATTTTGTTATTTATACAAAAAAAAATTTTTTTTTGTTTACTGCATAACGACTAAGTTTCACACACTGTACATGTATTTTATATTATATTATATTATAAAATGATAGATGTTTTTTTATTTATTTGTAAGATTTATTTTAGAAAAAAAATCATGTCTTTATATATGCTTCTTAAAATCATTGTGAAATGTCCTTTATTCGAATAAGTACTTGCTATTCGAGTGTCAGATGGCAAGCTGTTCGACTAGAAACGATTGGGTTAAATTCGGCAACTGGGCAAATGTTAAACGCGGGGACAAGAGAACAATGAAAAATAAACGATAAACTTATTATTATAGAACGTTACAACGGTGGCAAAGCAGATGATTAACTCAAATGCAGAAGATGACGGAACCCTGGAAACACGAGACAGATGAATAGTTCGGAAAAAGATCGTACATTGGCTATTTCCACGGGTAATTTGAAAAGTATTGCGTCACATTTCAGTAATTCAGATATAGATATCTCTATGCAAAGAATGATTCAGAGACTTGAAAAAACTTAAACATCAAGAAAAACAATTAAGCCATCGGCTTGGAAAAAGAAGCCACCACAAATTGGTGACTAATCAAACATATCATATTATGATAGATTTGAAGTTGAGGCTGGTGCGACAAAATATTTTTCGTAAAAAAAATAATAACAAAACATTAATTTGTCTAAATTTAACATTACAATAAGTTTTTTAAAGAAACGAAAAGTAAACAAGCGTTCTAAAAGATAGAATTTGGCTTGGACTTTCACCAAACTTTCATCCAATAAACATGAGAGAAAAATTTCTTAAAGCATAATGAAAAGTAAATCAAGCGATTTTTGCTTGCATTCTTAATGCTTTCGGCTCGCTTTCTGATATCTCAATTTTGCTAATTTTCCTTGATAATGTGTGGTTATCTAAGCTTACGCGTAAGTAACTTTACATTGTGAATTACCAGTCCGAGGGTTTTATGCAATCATCCACTTCGCGAGATCATTGATATCAGAAGCAATTTAGATGATGGTGACCTTTTAGGATCATATAAAACCTAATTTGCAACCAAGTGTTATCTTACAAACAATAAATAAGAAGTATTCACTCATCCATAATTAAATATCCCTTCCTTGCTCACAGCATCATTATCACCACCTTTTGGAGAACAAACTGACATCACCACCGTCATGGTCTTATCTCATACACCATCTCGTCGACAACTCGTTAATTTCGCCATCATTGTAAGCATCATAACTATCTTGTCAAATATAGTCGAAGGGATATTATCAATGTTTCTTGGTAGCCAATCAAATTCGGTCAGTCTCGTCATATTTGGGATTGGATCATTTGTCGAGATGACTTCATCGTCACTTGTTTTGTGGCGTTTTCTTTCGGAATTTCGAAAAGATCCTGCAGAGTTTAATAAAGAAGTTTTTGTTGAGAAAGAGCGCAAAGCAACTATCGGGATCGGATGTCTATTTCTTATATTGGCTACAGGAACATTTTTACATGCAATTATCTCTTTGAGCCAGAAGAGCCATCCCGAGAATACAATAGCAGGTCTTATAATTTCTATTGTGTCTATTGTATTTATGTTATTTGTATATGCTGCCAAGAAATATTTGGCAGTTAAGTTGGATTCATCGACGATGGCATCGGAAGCGCAATGTTCGTTAGCATGTATTAAAATCACGGGAGTACTTTTTTGTAGTAGTTTGATTTACCTGATATGGCAAAGAGCTTGGTGGATTGATTCTGCAGCCGCTCTGCTATTCAGTATATTCTTTGCCAAAGAAGGTTATGGAATGGTCAGATGGGCAACGAGCAAAAGTTTTAATGGTGGATACTCGCAAGAAAAAATAGATGGAGATAAAGGGGATATTAGTGATCAGGAAGTTAAAATGCCAAAAGAAAATAACGATAAAGAAAATATTAGTATACATGCTGTTAGTGAAAAAGAGGAAGGTTATTCGACCGATAAGAACAATATGAAAGAAACGAAAGATCTTCAATTAGAACCTCGAACTTCTTATTTACACAATTATCAACGTGTGGTTTGTTAATTTTTGTACATATAACGTTATCAAATTAAACTATATCACTATTACACGCGAATCATCAATTCCTTTAACAAGAGACAACCAATATCAACAACCTTCCTATCGGAAATACACAATAAAACTTGTCAATTATAAATAATCCTATCTTTTATTTAATTTCGAACAAAGAATTTTGTCGAAACAATAAACTATTATTTCTGTTAACTCATTTTTCTTTCATCAGCGTGGTTCTTCTACACGTAATACTGTAGATGTTGATTCTTGAAATTAACTAAACATTATCTTTGAGTTTAGTGATCGAACATTATGATTTTGACAAATATAAAAGTTTTAATTGACTGATTTTAATAATGATTTGATGATACATACTGTATCATTGATCTATCGTACGGTATATTTTTTAAAAATTACAAAATCCAAAAATAAAATGAATCGTGCATAACAGTAACTGATAATATAATATTAAATAACAAAATACTCTTGAATAAAATGTTTGATAAACTATTCTAACCGACCAACCGTCAGTACAAAAAGTCAAAATTTAATTTAAAAAGATTATCATCATAACCCCCGAGATCGATTTTCAAATTTCCGAAAACTTTTGTTAAATATTAGAATATTTCGTACACATTTTTAGAAACAATGGCATGATTACGTACCTACGTACGTACCGTTGTATCCCTTTTTTTGATGTCGTACGTGGGAAAATGTCTTTAAATGTCAACGTAAATAAATCGACGAAAAATTATAAATTCGATGAAAAAAAATTCTTCGAAAAACTTTACTAAAAATTAAAAAACACACCATATCATGTCTTCTTTAGATTCCACCGAAGGAAATAGGTTTGGAAACGGAATTCCTAGTCGTCCCGGAAATCCCATTCAACTATTAGAATATGTAAGTTCCGGGGATGAAAGTTTTGGAAAAATCGTAATCAATGATGCCGCGCTTAGAATAATTAATAATATTCGTGAGCCTGTGGCCATTATAGCGGTTGGTGAGTGTCGTTTATTATTGCAAAAAAATTTTTACTTGTATGCGTATTTACTATTTACAAAATATATCCATTTAAAGTGGGATCATATCGTCGCGGTAAATCATGGTTTGCTAATGTACTTCACGGACGTCACGATGGATTTGAACTCGGATCCAAAGTTGAAGGGTGCACTCGTGGTATCTACATGTGGGATACCCCCTTTTCTCACGAAGGAAAGCGTGTTATAGTGCTTGATTGCGAAGGTATCGATGATCCTAAGCAGGAACAAGCTTGGGCCGTCAAGCTTTTCATCCTCTGCCTAATTGTCTCGTCAACTTTTATTTATAACATAAGCGGGATTGTTGGACGAGACGATATCGGAAAACTTTATCTAATGACCGACTTGACTAAATTCATTCAACCACCATCTGGCTACGACTTTTTACCAAGATTAGTTGTTTTGCTAAGGGATTTTCAATTAGATGAACCCGATGATTTCCGAAAATACTTTATTGAAAAGTTAAATAATGTCAATGAAGAAAGTAACTATCTTCCCAGATACCGTACTCCGTTTGGATACCAACACTCGTGATACTTTATTTTTTACAATGTTTTTCTTCTTAATATAGTCGCAAAATCGATTAAGAATTATTTTCACGACTTTAACGTCTTTGGGTAACTAGTCACTTAATTAAAATCCGCAAAGAGTTGATGATGCTAATTATTATTCACATTAATATTTTCCCTTTACATAAAACGAACAGATTACCAGTAAGTTAATGTCATTGTTATATACAGTTGGCACTTAACCTAAAAGACTAACGATTAATTATAAATAGCATCCTGGGTGCAATCGTTCCCAACTAAGAGACATGGAGAATGTTGCAACTGAGAATTTAGACGAAGAATTTGTCAACATAGTGGTAACCGTTGTTCGATCGATTTACTCTAACCTTAACCCAAAATATATCGGTTCATCTACCATGACTGGGATGTCATTTGGTAAATTCCTGGTGGATTGTGTCGAAAAAATGAACGATCCCGAGAATTCTGAACAGTTGTCTATTCCATCGGAATATGAAACGGTCATTCAATATATGTCTCACAAAGCTACCGATAAATGTATGGAAATTTACGAGTCAGGAATGAACGAAGAAATAAAAGATCGCGTACCAATATTATGGGATGAATTTGATGACATCCATAATAATTATTATAATAAGGCACAGGAGGAATTTCATGATATGGTCATCGGTTCATCTCAACAAGTCATTGATTTCATCGATGGTTTTAACGCTCAAATTCAAAAAGTAAAAGAGAAGTACGTCAAGACAAATTCTGAAGCACTTTATGCCTATAACCATGAACTAGCGGAAAATCTCTGGAAAACCCACATCAAATGTAGATTAAACAAAGAAAATTTATTCAAGGTAAATATAAAATATGAAATTTTCTCATTATTTATTAGTACTAATTGTAAAGTATAATTCATCGTAAGGATAAAGACGAATTTGATGCGGCCGAAGAAGCCTTTAGAAATGATTATCAAAACCAGATGATGGCTTCACCTGAAGCCGGTGCCGCAATTACTAAATTCCTGGATGATAACTATAGCCAAGCTCTAGAAATTCTCACCCAATTAGGCACCTTAAAAGAAGAGCAGGCCAACGCATTACGTAGGCTGGAAGAAGCTCAAAAAGAAAGCATTAAAGCTCAAGAACGAGTGACCTCGCTAGAGTCCGCAATTAAACAAGGAGCACTAGAGGGGAAACAACAGGCTGAGAAGTTAGAGCGTAAAATGAATGACATGGCAAAAAATATTGAGAATCAAAAAACCCAAAATGAGGAACTAAAAAAGCAGTTATTAGATCAGCAAAGGCAAATGGTAGAACAACAAAAAGCGGCAGCAGCCGAAAGGGAAAAGCGAATGCAACAAATGATGGAACGAGAACGAGAAGCCGCAGCTGAAAGAGAAAGGCTTATGCAAAGAATGTTGGAACAAGAATCTGCAGCAAGACGAGAAGCTTTGTTATTAAGTCAACGTGGGGGTAATGATGACGGCGGATGTCAAATACTGTAAAGTATGAGTGTAGCGATATTATTGTTGTACCGATTCTTCATAAAATTTCCGAAATAATTGGAAGTTACCCAAAGTAATCTACACGAGAACCAATAAAAAAAGACAGCGTAATAAATTTTTTTAATAAAAAAATTCAAACCCAAAACCCGATGTTGTATGTTCTCTCGTGGAACAATGTGTAAAAGATGGTATTACATATTTTTTATAACAGTTACACAATCAAGTGTGAGATTGGAATTATGAACAAGTCGTGGAAAATAAATTATTGTAAAGAATATTAATAGTTTTAATTACGCTACATACTGTATTTCTTATTAACATATTTAAAAAATGAACAAAATCAATTAACTAATTTTTAAATAAAAAATAATATTTTTATTTTTATTGGCACGAATTTGCATAAAAAAAAATGTTTAAATTTATAAACTATTATTTCATATACAGTACAGTAACAAAGTTCTATATCGAATAATTTTAATGATTATTTTATTTTTTTTTTTAAAAAAAAAGATATTAGAGATTCGTTGTTTCAAGTTTATCTGGTTGTTTATTTTAACTTGTAAAATTAAAAAAAAAAATTATTATTATTATGTTAAATAATACGATATCAAGTAAAGTTAGTTATAAGGTATTCGACCATGCATTCATGAATCTTTAATGAATTTTTATCAAGTTTGTAAAATAAACATACAACTCTCTCTCTCTCTCTTCTTTTTTTTTTTTTGCACCATTCTGTAAATACAAAATAATTTACAATTTTAAATCAAACATATATAATTGTCAATAGAAAATACCCGAGCCCCCGCCGCGACGTTACCTAACGGGAGGGAGCGCACCAGGCTGGTTTAGTCAGTGGCGAGCCCCACATGATAAATTAATGTTATTATATTAATTCAGTTTACAACATTTTTAAGAATGCAACTTAAGATCATGGAAATTCTAAAGATTCTCTTGAAAGAGGCGCTGCCCATATTGGGATGCATTTGTTAATTAAATTACATCACGTTTCAAACGAGCCACAAATTTTGATGCAAATGTGGTATCGGTAGATGAAACTTCCGAAGAGCATTAAAGAGATCAAGATTAAATTGGTTACCGCACTGCCAGTCTGGTTAAGCCACATGAACCATCTGACCAAAAAAAAATTATTTCTATTTATAGTGACATTTTATTCATGCCGTATGACAAACAAATCGAACATCAAATTTTCTATACAGAACAGTTACACTTTTTAAATTATATTTTTGACGGAATTATTAAATATGCTTGGCTAAAAAATACCGAGGCTTGCATTGTCAAGCCATAATTACACGATGACCCAAAAATGTAATCATCGGAAATTTATTGATTGGCTGAAAATCGCTTTCTCTGAATTTTTAGGATGTCGATTAAGCCCTGTGACTTAGGAAAGGGCTAATTTTCGTACCGACTATTTTGATATTTAAAGCCACACCCTACAACGCCAACTTTCAAAAATCGAAAGCCACACCCTACAACGCCAACTTTCAAGAAATCGAAAGCAATCAGTTTCAAACAAAAAAATAGTAACAATAAAAAATCATCAATTAAATTTTAGTTTTTGTGCCAATTATTACAAAATGTATCAAAACATCGTTTTCGAAGATGAACAATCTAAATACGAGTCACCAGCCACCGCCACTCGAAATTTAAATCGTAGAATACATGTTATTGAAGAAGAAAAAATCGGTACAATCAGAAGAAGATTACGTTCTCGGCGGCCTTCAACTCATCCTTATGCCCCTGCCACCCCTTGTAATCGGCTGAAACCCCACAATTGTCATTGCAACGTCAACACTCTGAGTAATGAATACATTGAATGTTTGAGTGCAAGGATTAATCGTATAGAAGATTTGGTTAAAAATCTTTGCAAAAATATTAAAGTCACGACTACTGAATATTCTGGGAACAAGAAATCCTTTTTTGCAC